GATGCGCATCGAATAATACACAACGAACATTGTGAAACACACATCGATAATTTTTAAAATTTCATGAAAATTTCTTAGAATGTCATGAAACCTACTTTTAGATGTGTGAACATTTTAAAATTTTCATGGACAATTATTTGAATGGCACGAACGTTTCTTTCTCCCAATCACGGGAACCCATTTTTATGTTTTAGCGAATGTTTTGGAAAAATTTCATGAACTAATATTTAAATATCCCTGCAAAAAACTAATTTTTAAACATGTGAAATATTTTGTAAGTGTCATAAACATTTTTTTAATGATACAAATATTTATTACAAATTGAGAAAATAAAATTACATAATGTATGAACATTTTTTTACAATTTCATAGCTAATTTTAAACACATGATTTTTTTTGAATGTGATGAACACTTTTATGAATGATATGAACCTTTTTTAAATGTGCAGTGTTTTTTTTTTGAAAAACAAGCAAAAACAAAATCACATAACGTACTTGCCTATGTGCGCACGCATACCTGGGTGTCGTAGATATGCATTATACTGGGACTGACTTGGAAGGACGCTTGAGGCGACGTGAGCTCCGGTATCGCAATAAGCGTGGACATTTCTTATTTCCTATTTCACCCCCGTGGGGTGTAATAGTAGCCCTTTGGTATAGAATGCACGCCCCAGGAAACCCCGTTTACTAATGAGCCGGCCAAAGCTAGATAACACCTTTGGCAATTCCTTGGCATGCTAGATGCAAGGCTCTTCATGAAAATGATTTCCAGAGTCCACAGGCTACACACATGTTTGTGCAAAGGTGTTATCAAAGGCGTAACTGACCCGACAACTCTAGAAGCTCTTGCATGCCAGAAGCTCTAGCTTTGGCTTCTGATCTCTTATTACAACATATGGAAGTGGTGACTGATTGAAAAGGAATTGTGAAAGTGAAGATATCATGGATGGCGCATGAGGGCTACACGGGAATATTATTCATGAGATTTCGTCTTTGATGTTGGAGTTCCAGCCTTGTTCCTTCTCTTTCGAGAGGAGGGAGTCAAATTTTGAGGCGCACGGTCTCACTGAACATGCTCTAGGCCATACTGTAGGTAGACATATTTGGCTACTACAACCCCTCCTATCAGTTGCATCTCAATAAACATTGTTACCGACTAATAAAGAGGGCATATTTAGACAAAAAAAACTATTGAGCCGGCTCAAATAGGCACTATGTTCCGGTTTAGTGCCTTCCATCCGGTTTTGGGAAGGTTCTTGAAGATTCTGGTCCCCTTTTCTCCTTTCGTATTTCTTTTGTTTTTCTTGCTAATTTGTTTTCAAATTTATCTTTGTTTTTATGGTTTCTTCATATTTTATGGCATTTTGTTTTCATTCTTTAAATTTATGATTTTTTTTTCAAATTAATGAATATTTTTAAACCAATGGATATCTTTAAATTCATGAATATTGTAAAATTTTGCTAAAATACAAAATTCGTGAATACTTTTCATATTCATGGACATTGTTAGATTCATGCACATTTTACGTGAACATTTTAAAAATTCTCAAATATGTTTTTCAAGCAAGAGCATATTTTAATTCAAAAAACATGTAAAATTTATGAACATTTTTAAACTCTTGAGAATTTTTAATCCATATTTTTAAAAATGTATGAACATTTCTGAAATTATTTATTTTTAAAATAAATCAGGATCATTTTTTAAATCCGTGAACATTTTTTATTTCACTATTTTTTTTTTAAAAAAAAGAGATGACACTCTATTTTTTTCTTGAGCTAGCAAGAGAATGGAGCTGAGTTGAAAAAAACGGAGTAGCAAACAACTAGTGAGCAATGAAGCTTTGAGAGCGGGCCTAGTAAGCGTTTTAGGGGCACTTTGTCCCCTCAAGCGTTAAATAGGAACACCCATAAGTGAGACTTGGACGGTCCTGGCGGTGCTGAGCGTGCTTCCGTGTTCGATGAAGAACATTGAGAAAGTGGCCTCTCACGGCTCTATTTCTAGCCTAGCAAGCGACAAAACCCATGACAGCTTCCGATTGTCTGAGGTGGCGGTGGTGGTTTCGGGGCGGGAGAAATCTCTGGCGGCTCGTTCGTCACCGGCGCGGCTGCGCTCGTGGGCGTTGCCGGACCCTCCTGAGGGGCATCGGTGATAAGCCCTTCCTCACTGCCATCCGCGTACCGGGGAAAACTCTAGGACTTGTCTGGGCAGCAGCGGCGTCGTCGTCGCATTTCTTCCTGAAGATGTTGCTTGGTACGCGAGGCCTCGGAGTGCTTGGCGGGCGGTGGTTCTTCTCCGGTGGGTGCAGCAGGTGTCGGTCATCTTTGCTTAATCGAGCTGCCGGCGTCGGCATTTGTTTCTTTTTTCTTTCTCTCCTTTTTCTTTTGGGCTTGTTTATGCTGCGGCCCCAGCAAGCTGGTTATATCGGTTGAACGTTGCTTTATAATCTAAAGCGGGGGGAAAACCCTTTTTCTCAATACGACGTAGAGCGACAAGTCCACTAGCCATCGGGAGACACGCACATCATCCACTCTGAAAAAGCCCATGAACCAAATCACATTACTATACATTTTTACTACCGAGTACTGACTAAGGAAATTGTGTGTGTGTGTGTGTGTGTGTGTGTGTGTGACAATCCAGTGGAGAAGCATAGTAAAACTTTCATTGTTATTCTAGGCTCAGCATGAGATTGTTGAACTATGCTGCCCAATGTTTATTTTGTAGTCAGCCGCAGAAAATACCTACAAAACTAGAGATAAGGTGAGTGGGTATCTTTGATTAATGTTTGTGACATAGTGTTAATGGGTCACGTAGTATGGTTTTCTATGAAAGCTAATTGACAAAGGTAGAGAAGCTAATTTTTGTAAAATACGATACCCATATCCATTTCCTATTCTAGGGGTGCGAGACTTCGCGGAGGTCTCTAGACCTACTTTTCCCCTTTTCATATTTACTTGCGGATAGAATAACATCCCTCCTAGGGGGGTAAATAGGCAAGAGCCCCGTTGACAAATGATAAAGAGTGTTGTTGGTTATGGTAGCATTTTTGAAGTACATTTTGGTTATTGGTCCGTGATAGACTAGGGATGGGGGAGTAAAGCATTATACATGATTTAGAACCCCGCTCAACCTTCTTCCTCTTGGGCGTTTTTCCTTTGGCTTTGGACTTTGTCTTAAGTTTTTGCATCTCTCTTTGACTTATTGTTATGTTGAACCTAATAAACTTGTATCAACTAGATTTTGCCATGTAGATGCCACTTAGGACTTGTGGACTTAGTGAAGATTGGGAATAATTATACCCCAATTTTTTTGCTTGGTCGTGTCCCGTCCTACATGGTTATGACGTCTTACACTATAGAAGTGGTGCTGTTTTTGTTTGTGGGTCTTTCTACTCTTCCTTTTATGTAGTTATTCTTTCCCCTAAAAGTTGTCCGACGAACGAAAGCATCTGTTCAACAACATGAGTTGTGAAGGGTGTGTCCCCTAGCCATGTACATTTAATGATTTTTTGTTCTCACCGCTTGCATGGATGGCTCATGTGTCTCGAGCTTTGCTACACGTACATGAGGATTACAGGATGAGGGAATTGCAGGGTGTCATGGCAGTTTTTAATTGATCATTAGTAGACGGACTGACCCATCCCCATTAAAATCAGGGAGGCATGTTTAGAATGTTTGAAAGGAGCCTGCAGAACCCCTGTAAAAGAGATTTTTTACGGTACATCATACTACCGAATTTAAGAGGTAGTATTAAGTTGATCCAACGGCTGATATTGTTCGACTCAAAGATTGGTTCGAGGATAGCTTGGTAATTTCCTACTGTTCATCAGTGCTTAGACTCTCGCCGGCAAACGATCTATTTAGGGCGTAGGATTAATCGAGCAGGGGAAACAGAATTAATCGATTGCCATTGTACGCCCTCATCTCCCCTGGGACTGTCTCAAGTTGCGCTGCCGACAAGCGCAGGCGGGCCGCTCATCCTGTTGAGCCGTCGCCGAAGGTAGACGAAGCAGACGACGACACCAGCTGCTGCTCCCCGTCTCCATCAACACCAACAAATAAGATACTTGGAATTCAGGAGCTTTGCCATGCAAAACTGCAGCACTACGAAAAACTGCTCACCCAACCACACTGCGTAAGAATTTAGCTCGTGATGTTTCACCGTCAATTCTGAAACCAAGCTTAAGCAAGCTAGCACCTTATCAACTGTGAAATAATCATGAGAAACGAAAACGGCGAGAACTAGCACCATGTTCTCGCGCTTCTGCAGTGGCGACGTGCTCGGCAGTGTGACTGCGGGACCGAAGGAGAGCAACATGTTCACGCGCTCTGCAGCGGCGACGTGCTCGGCCACGTGACTGTGCGACCGAAGGAGAGCAATCTGTTCCCGCGCTCTGCAGCGGCGACGTGCTCGGCAGCGCGACTGCGCGACCGAAGGAGAGCACAACCTGTTCTCCCGCTCCCTCCCGTCCAGGCCCGCGCCCACGGCAGCCCACCCACCGTGTCATCCCCGACCTATTGCGGTCCCGCACCACCCTGCCAGCGGCACAAATGGCGGCACCGGCGGCCTCCCTCTCGCTGCCGCCCGATCTACAATAATGAACTGCCAAAAGTACCCCTATCATCTGAATATACTACCTGAATTATGGTGTAGTATTGCTATATCTCGACCGTTGAACCACAAAAATAAACGGCTTAAAATATTCTAATGTACGTCTAGCAGTTTTGCATGTGTCTCTTTCTAAACTTTTCATGTTCGTCACCTTAGTGTAACTTCGATTTCTCTGTTATTCGCATTTGTGCATGTTTCTTAGACTACTGTACTATCTTGGTTTATTCAAGAGGATACAACCATTGTTCCAGTAATCGATCACACGAGTGCTCTTACAAAGTGCTATTACAACAGCGCAACACGCCAATCAAACTCTACAAAGAATAGTTGTGCTACGCCCCCCTGGCCGTCCGCCCCCTGCGCTCCCCGCAAGTTGGTGCCCGCCACTCGATCAGACGCTGTCGGGCAGGTCGAAGTGCTGGACGCCGAGCACCTGCAGCGCCGAGTTCTGCACGAAGAGGACGATGCCGCACTTGGTGGCGCGGAAGTCGTCCCACAGCGGGAACTGGACGGACCCGGACACGGCCTTCCTGGCGGACGTGCCGTCGCGCACGGCGGCCACCTTCTCCAGCCGGCGCACCACGTGGTCGTTGAGCAGCGACTTGCTCTTGTTCTCGCCCCGGCCGCAGTCGGTGACCACGCCGCTCTCGTACAGCGCCACCAGCACGCTCCCGCCGCCGTCCACGCGGGAGTGGAGCGCGCCCGTGAAGGACGCCTGCAGCGTGCTCGGGTTCGGCCGCTGGAACTTCACCTGCAGAGCACAGAGGGAGGCGCACGGTTCAGACTTCAGAGCACCGTCAACAATTAAGCTGGTGGGTGCATGCAGCATGCGTGCGTGCGTACGTACCTTCATGGCGGGCGAGGGGTAGCGGGGCGCGTCGCGGACGGCCTGGGCGAGCTTGTCCTGCTCGGTGCCGACGCAGTCCGCGCGGCCCTGCACGACGACCTGCGGCGTGAAGAGCGTGTCCAGCCGGAGCGCCTCCACGTACGCCTTCTGCCGCACGGTCCAGGCGCTGGACGCGAAGGGGTCCTTCCACCCGCGGTAGTCCCAGTAGTCCACGTGGAACCCCAGCACCACCATCGCTCGCTCGCCGCCGCCGGTCTCCGAGGACTCCTGCGCCAGCCGCGCCACCAGGGCGTCCGCCTCAGGCGACGCCGCGCACCCCTGCGAGGAGAAGAGCTCCACCAGCACCGGGCCCGGGGCCAGGTCCTCCACAGGCTCCGGCGCCGAGGCCGTCGCGCCGCCCCTGCCGAAGCACGCCAGGAAACGCGGCGCCATCGCTACGTCTACGTGCCTGCCTCCTTCCCGGAGCGGAAGAGATGTCAACGTGGTGGGAAAGGGAAGCGACTGCGAGTGCCAGGCCGATCGAGGCGCGCGTTTGCGTGTGCCGGGCGAGGTAAGTAGAGTGGTGGCTGGGCACTTAGGTGGGTGAAAGGGAGAGAACGTGGCGGTGGCGACGGCGACGGCAACAGGATACCAGCCTGGGACAGCACGCAGCTCCCCTTCCCGGCGCTACGTTGCGATCTGTCGGCCTCCGCCCATGTGTGCGGTGTGCCTGCCTGACTGCCCACAGCCTCTCCATTATTTCTTATGGGTGACACGGTAGCACCACTTTGCTCCACATGCATCGTCTTTTTGTGCACTACTCCTACTTTGCTCCACATGCATCTATCTTCCTTTGCGATGCGAAAAGATGACCGAACCTGCATATGCTCCCCTGTTCTAAACTGTGGATCCTTTGCTTCGTCCGGTGTGTTTTGCCGCAGCCAAGTGGAGACTGATGAGCTTCTGGTTCGCTGAAAAGTAAGAACGGTGTCGGCCCATCGGCGAGTGGTTGGGTCCGCGTATGCGCACAGCGGCTGCCCGGGGTGCAATAATTTGTTTGAGGCAAACGAGCGTCGGAACACGCCGACCTAGCTGTTTGCTGTCCATGGTGTGTGACGAGTAAATTGCACAGAAGTACCACAATTGGGGCATTGGAAGCAGATTGGTACCAAGTTTGGTAATTTTTACGTGTCAGTACCAAGTCTGGGGCTAGACGTTACAAAAAGGTCTAAATCGCGTATAAACGTGTATTGACGGTGCATCTGACCGGCGGGGCCTGCATGTCAGCTGCCGATGTGGCATTCTTTTTGCAGAAACCCCCTGCACCTCCTTTGTCCTCACAGCGGCGGGGCCTGATCTGGATCGAGGGGAGGAGCCCCTCGAGCCCGAGCTCATTCGCCTCCCGTAGCCCCGCCCCGCCCTGGGCTCCTCGCCGCGCTGCCGGCCGGCCACCGGAGCACCACCACCGGCGACTAGGACCAGGCCGTCCTCACACCCTGCCTCTCTCCTTCTCTTCCTCCTTCCATTTTTTCTTCTCTCTCTCTCACCCGAAGCTCTCTCTCTTGACGCGCCGCCTTGGTTCTCGTCTTCTTGGACTCCAGCGGCCGCATAGCCTCCTCCAGCGCCCACGCCTCCTCGATCCTCGCGTCCTGCAGCGTCGCACCGCCTCCTGCAGCTCCAGCGAGGGCGGGACCCCGTTGGAGGCCATCTTGCCGAGGGCGACGAGCGCGCTCCCGGGGTCCCGAGCCTGCAGAACCGGGCGACGGCGATGCCGTAGGTGGCGGCGTCGGGCCGGCGTGGGGAGTCGGGGCGGCAGAGCCAGCGGAGCACGGAGGCGGCCTCGTGGGCGCGGCGCATCGCGAGGAGGTGGCCGAGGAGCGGGGTGGCAAGCGGGAGCGGCGAGGGGCGGACGGGGTGGTGGCGGAGCGCGGTGAGCAGGGCGAAGGCCGGGGTGGGCGTGGGGAGGGAGGCGAGGTGCTCCGCGAGCGGAGGGAACGGGAGGCGCTCCGGGGAGCCGGGCAGGAGGAGCGCCGCGGAGAGGAGGCGGCCAGCGGCGGGGACCTGGCCCTCGGAGATGAGCCGCGGGATGAGCGCGGAGGTGGCGTCGAGCTCGGACGGGGAGAGGGGGGAGGGTGGCGCTTCCGTTCTGCAGAGGCCCCGAAGGAGACGGTGGAGGCCACGAGCAGAGGCCGCGGCGGTGCGAGCAGGGGCAGCTCCGGCGGTCGTGGTGATGCGAGTGGGAGCTCGGGCTCGATGGATTCTCCCCTCGATCCAGACCGGGCGCCGCTGTGCGGGGGGTTTCTGCAAAAAGAATGCCACATCGGCAGCTGACATGCAGGCCCCGCCGGTCAGATACACCGTCAATACGCGTTTATACGCGATTTAGACCTTTTTGTAACGTCTAGCCCCAGACTTGGTACTGACACGTAAAAATTACCAAACTTGATACCAATCTGCTTCCAATGCCCCAATTGTGGTACTTCTGTGCAATTTACTCGTGTGTGACAGTTTTTTTTTTCTTTTCGAAATGGTTGGTGTGTCACAGTGGAGACCAATCCACAGTCTCTGTAGTTCCTGTGTACCGGCGTTTGATATTGCAGAGTTGAACGCTTGGCTTTTGACCCATGGACGGAACCCCTCTGCCTGTACGTCGCCTCCAGAGATCTGGGATCAGCCTTCGCTCGCGGTGCCGGTGGGGAGTGTGGCCGTGCACCTGACGGCGCATGCGACGTTCTACCAGATCAGTGTCGCCTCTGTCGGTGTACCTGACATGTACCGTGTGCCTGTTGCGACTCCATTTAACTGGGAATTCCGCAGAGCTTGAGGTTTCAGTTATAATCTCTTAACTCATTTTTTAATCGATTACTCCCTTCGTAAAGAAATATAGGAGCGTTTAGATCACTAAAGTTTAAATCACTAAAATAGTTATCTAAATGCTCTTACATTTTTTTATAAAGAGAGTACAATATATGACTTTTTTCGTAAAATAATGACCAAACCAGCAATACAGACAGCTTAAAAAGACAACTATATTGAAGTCCCTGAATCTCGCAAAAAAGAAAATGAAGTCCCTGGAAAACGACCTCTTTGAACATCTTGATGGTGTGCTCGCAGTACATCGTCCGAGCCACCATGTCGTTGTTGATTACAAATGAGAAGTTATCAAAACCACAGTTCTACTGGACCAGTGCCCTCGAGAAGAAACCGTCACCCCTGGAAAAGTCGCAGATTTAAAAGCCAAAACTCCATTATTTCTCACAAGTCTTGCGTCTGTTAGAAATAATGGGCTAGACCCATGTACAATTTCTGAAATATCAAATTGGCCCATAAAATGACAAGTGGTGGCTCTAAAGTTTAGTCTCATCCTGGAATTTGAGGAGGTGTGAGACCTCTTTATACATTGGGTTCTCTCCACTCCACTAAGTGATGTTTGAAGAGAGAAAGAGAAGACCACACACGTGCTCGCCTGGCCTGGCCAGGCCAGGGCGAGCGGGCATGCGACATGCGTGTGAATGGTCTACCGAAATCCGGTTTGTGGCCTTGCAGGGGCACGGTTTCCTTTTGCCATGTTTTTTTAGAGTACGCCAATGGCGTAGCTTAGCTTTATAGAAGAGAGAAAGATATGTACAAGAGTTTACATGGGAGATATCACAAGCCGGCGATCCCACCCAACCACTCCATAACACTAGGCGGACTACTCACAAAACCGTTGGACTCTTGCTACGCCCGCTAGCCTCCATAGGTGCAGCTCCTGAAAGATAAGATTGACCGTAGCATACTCATCGCAAATCACACCTGTCTGGAAAACCCTAGCGTTACTTTGCTTCCATAACATCTAGCAAATCAACATGACGAAAGCATCGAAGCCCTTCTTGTCCGCTCTGCTGATCTGCTTGCAAGTACTCATCCACCACTGTTGTAGCTTATCATGTTGCATGGGAATCAGGTTTGGATTGATGCCAACTCTGGAGAAGCATTGGAACCAGACTTGTCTCATGAAAACACACTGAAACATGAGGTGATCCACGTTGTCCTCCTCCTGGTCACAGAAATAGCAAGGAGATACCATCTCTTGCAAACCATGCCTGAGCCTCCTATCCGAAGTCCAAATGCATATTGAATAGCCAACCACATGAAGATCTTGCAGACAAGAGGGGCTCCGTTCTTCCAAATAGCAGCTGCCGGTGGAAATCTGATTCCTCCGAGGCCGAGGCAGCTATATAGACACCCGAGTCGTGCCAAGCCCATATTGCCTTGTCTCCACTTCCTAGATTAATCTCAAACTTCATAAGGCTCTCCCAAAGGTGGATGAATTGTGCAAGCTCCTCTGTCGACAGAATCTCCGGGACGTCCTTAGTCCAATCGTGCTGGTTTAACCCCTCACTGGCCAGCCTAGTGTTGATCGTCCTCGTCTTTACCCTAGCCACGAGACCAGCGGCAATGAAGAGAATCCTTTTGCCATCGCCGATCTCCCACATCACCATGCTATTGGACGCGCACTGAACTTGCTTGTCCGGCACTAGATTCAATCCTTGCCACGGTCGGCAGTCATTCAATCTGCGTAGCCATTCCCATCTCAGCCGAAGGGCAAGGCCATGCTTACTGAGATCCATAATGCCAAGACCACCCAGCTGTTTTGGGCGACACACGCTCTGCCAAGACACCGCACACTTCCCACCACTGACAGCGTCCGTACCGGCCCAAAAGAAAGCCCTACATCCCTGACCCACTATCTCAATTGCTCACTTTGGCGCCTCAGACACAATTAAGTGGTGAGTAGGTCGAGCCCTCATCACTTGATTCACCAGTATCAACCTCCCCGGTCGAGTTACCACACCTCTTTGCCATCCCGGGGGGGTTTTGAGCGCTCCATCCACCATGAATTGCCACTACGAGTGTGTCAGCTGTTTGATACCCAGTTGGAGACCAAGATATTTACAAGGGAAGTGATCAATCTTCCAAGGAGCGCATTCCCGACCACCTCCTCATCATGCTCCTCTTCGCGGATCAAGGTCGCCGAGGACTTGGCGAAATTGACATGCGAACCCGAGGCCTTTCCAAAGATCATGAGAACCTCCTTGACGAAAGTGATATCGGTCCGAGATGGTCTAATGAATAGAACCACGTCATCCGCATAGAGTGAGAGCCGCTGCAAAGGCTTGCATCCATTCAACTTCTCCAGAATCTTGAGCTCATGTGCCTTGATTATGATAGTCGTGAGGGTCTCCATTGCAATCACAAATAGCAGTGGTGAGATAGAGTCCCCCTGCCTTAGACCACAAGCATGCATGAACTTGTCTGTCATACACCCATTCACCACAATCCTCGAGCTGGCGGTAGTGAGCATAGTTGCCAGCCAAGCGAGCCATCTCTCTGGGAAGCCCTTTGTGCGAAGCACCTCAAAAAGGAAGGGCCATGACAGCGAATCAAAAGCTCAAGCAATATCTAACTTG